CTCTGTTTACCATTAGAGAGATGCCCAGGAGAATCCTATCGTTCGTATATTATATCATCCAGCACGAGAATCAAGTCACGTGTCATTCTTTGATGGAAGTATCTCAAAGTTCAAGCCCAAGGAGGATGGTACGAGTGGATGATGATGATGAGACTTCCGTTATAGTAGTACGGTCTTTAACATCAGCCTATTCAATGAGAAGTAAATTGAGTAAGGACTACTTACGAAGCTTTATCAAGCAGTTTGATGAGGGTGGACTTAGTCCATATAGGCGTTCTGAGCCCATACCACAATACTCAGGGAATGAAGGAGTTCTACAGGTGGTCAGATCATCGTCATCTACTACTATATCTCATCACAACAATTGAATCTCTACCTTGAGTATTCACCAGTAATCAGGTTGTATCTGATAACTTCGAGGATATCGTAATGAATGATAAGCAAGATGTCCTGGTGAACTACTTCGCACCATGGTGTGGTCATTGTCGTCAACTAAGCGGAATATACTCATCTCTTGGGGAGAAGGTGAAGCATCTAAGCTCAACGTGAGCAACCAGCTCCATCATCAGGCTGGCTACAATGATAACCTCTCATCAGGTTGAAGATTGTGAAGGTTGATGCAACACAGAATGAGCTGCCTTTCAGAGTAGATGTTTTCCCGACCATTGCGCTCTATCCTGCGGGTAATGTATCAATGCTACACTTCTCGCCCACTAGGTTTCTTGTTAGGGAGGAAACATGCGCCGGTAGCATTCCATGGTCCCCGGACGGTAGATCGGTTCATTGAGTGTGTTAAGACCTATGTACATAGAGAGTAAACTATTTGTGGTAGGTTCCTTAAGGAGAATGCTGTACACCAACTAGCAGACAAACCACCTGTTTACGATGCATATGGGAATATGGTAATAATAGTAGTAGTAAGGTGAGCCGGGAGGGGTTCATGTTAGGTTGAGAACCCTGAAGAGTTATAACTCCTACTATTAGATGATTCTCACTTGATCTTGTTTTGAGTAGGGTACTACTCACTCTGCATTCTAAACGTCTTCAATGGTCATCAAAAAACTCATGAACTAACATTCACTGCGTGGTACGATATCGGTGAATCCCGTATCAAACCCCGATACAGCACTTTTTGTTCTTGGGTATATCCTGTACTATTGTGTCCTATTATTCATAGTAGCTAGAGTGCATCAGCCCATTTGATAACCCTAATGGATTTCTCATCATCATCATCTCCCAGCATAAGTGAGCATGCTACCCCTGAGGAACAGCAGCAGGCCCTTGTACAAGGAATCAATGCAATGGTTGTACAAATGCTCCAGGGAGTGCGTCATCATAATGCTTTCTCCTATTGTCCACTATTGTCATATCTTCTCAGCAAACCCGCAAGACTTGTTTCGATAAGTGCATCGCTAAGAACGGACGCTTCGTTGACCAGTTGGGTAAGAATGAGCAGATATGCTTGGCTAAGTGTATGGATCG